TTTACATGTATCATTAATGTGTACGGAGTAATCTAGCTGTGATGCCCGTTTGCCGTGCGACACCTACGTACGTAGTGTCGAGTCTGGTGGTTCGGTGTGTCACCGTGTGTGGGCAGGTGCAAGGTGGCACATGGGGTTTAATGTCGGCCCTACCTAGGTAGTTAGTTAACAAGGCACCGTTGACCCTTTTTGTGGCTGGCTGTGGCTGCGACGCCTAATACCGGGCCCCCAATTTTTGTACAATCCCCCCCCTGTATGTTTCTACACGAGTGAACTGACAGGGTAGCTATAAGCAGGGGGTAATACACTATCTATAATCTACATATTTTAAGTGGTAATATGTTAAGAAGGCTTACAGGGTTTACGATAAAGACCTTAACTTACTAAAAAAATTTCGGGAAATCTCAGGTACTTTTAATACCCACCTTTCTCTTATAAAATTATTTTTTATTGGTTATTACCCCCCCTATTAGGTCACGCATGAAGAAACATTCAGGGGGGGAACTGTAATTGGTTGTGGAAATCGAACATACTACTTGTCAACTACGGCCCAGAAGTTCCACTCTCCCCGCCTGGAGGTCCACGCCAATCACGGCCCTGCACCGAGAAACCGGCATATTACCGGTTCTCCAACTCGTGGAAACAAGGCGACTCCGCTTTTTTGCGCGTATCAAATCGCTAGATCTCGCACAGTCCCTAGTCAAGCGCACCGTCGAGGAGACTGGGCCCAGCCACAGAGGGGATGCTTGTTACGGCCCTGCAGCCGGCTGAAAACACTGCATAACACGCATAATTATGGCGCTTACCCATTTTTAATAAGGGATTTACACATAAAGTTATGGACGAAACCCACATCATTTATAAAACACTGCGACCCCCTGTTCATAATGTACTAAGCTAGCAGGGACCGCTTAGATCCCTATAAAAAGCTTAAATGCCAAGCTTTTAGCCAATTCTACCACTAACTTATGAGCTAAAAGTACTTAAGTTATCCGCCAAAACGTGCTGAACACATTATCATGCTGCTAGTAGTTAGCAAGATCAACTAAAGACGTGGTGGAGTCAACGGTATGAGGGAAAACCCCCCACTATACATATGTAGTTTAGTGGCGCAAATCTCTTCTTTAGCCGGCTGACGTTCCGTCGCGGTTTAGATCAGGGCCTAACTAGGGCCTTAAGATTAAGTCTGGTTGCTGGCGCTTGCTCCATGCTCCCCAACATGTTACTCCGTACTTGGATATTCCTTTGTCCTAGGTCATCCATCTCTTGTTTCCCGACATCTCTCCACCGGCAGTCACCTTCGACTCTATTTCTAGGAAGTTGGCGATATAACGACCCTACCATCGCCAGCATAACTCACAGTGACGCGAAATTCTACCAAAGTCTTGCGCTCAAAGTCACGAGAGAGTTCCAATACCCACCATTTTGCCATCGGCAACAGCCTTCGAACGGCCGACCATGTCCGGCGCCAGAAAGAACACCGCGGACATTGAGTCGTTCCCCCCAATCGAGCAAGGCTCGCCGATAGAACTTGCGCAATCTCCAAGTGCCGATGGATCAAAGAACATGAGGGAAAATCGTCCTGCTGCATCATCATCTCTGAGTGGACGCCTGCGACGTGTATCCCGAAGCTTTGAGCAGTCTGAGCTGCCAGAAGGCTTCTTTGCAGCAACAGGTGGAATAGCCTCGTCCATCCTCTCACGTCAGGCTGGCCCTCGACCTGTTTCTAGTTCGATTGGTTTGGCTAAGGCCCAGCCAGCTGTTCCCGGTGAAAATGCCCTGCAATCCACCCCAGTTCATCCTGTTTCCGAGGAAGGTCGCGCAGAAAGCAAGAACGATGGTAGCTCAGGTATCCAGACAGAAGCCAAATACGAGGGCGAGCCCCCTTCTGCGGCGCCGTTTCCAAACGGCTATCATTTCCCTCCGAAACACTCGTTTGGCGAGTCGATAACGCTCGGTCTCCTTGCGTTCTGGAACTATTTCCTCACGCCTGTAGGGTTTGCCGTCACTATCTACGGCTTGAATGTGGTTGCATGGGGCGGAATGCTGTTTCTGCTCCTTTGTAATGCCTGTAAGAGCACCTTCAATATCGGTTTCCAGGTAACATGCACTAACCAAGCTCTGCAGCTCCTGCCATGTGCTACCCTTCTTGCAACGACATCAATTCACCACGTCGCAAGTGGATCGAGGTCGACTCGCAGATCCTCAACGCCCTATTCTGTATCACTGGATTTGGACTTGCCCCCTGGCGGTTTAGAGATCTATATTTCCTGTTACAATACCGACTAGAGAAAAAGAAAGAGGCTCTTCGGCGACTGGCTGGCATTCACCGGGGGTGGTTTCGGCTGAGAGGTTCAAACGAATTACCGCCAGCCGTTGGACCCCGAAATGTTGACAGAGATGAGTTTCAGTCGATCTCGCGCTTTGCAATACCATTTCCCGAAACCAAGATTCCCGAGGCTCCTCTAACCGGAGTCCGAGCCCGGCCAACATTGGTTTGGAAGTTAGATTTGGTTATCTGGCTTATGGTGGCCAACACGTTTCTGCAATGCGTTCTCTCTGGATTCATGTGGGGTATGAACCGGTATAACCGCCCAAGCTGGGCTACCGGCTTATTTGTTGGTCTTGGCTGCGGGGTTGCCGGAATTGGAGGATTCATTATGTTCCTAGAAGGCAAGACTGTTAAGAGTATAGAAGGGGTGCCAGTTAGCCAGGCAGATATAGAACGTTTAGAGCGCGACAGGGAACAAGGTATCTGGCACTTCAACAACATTCAGGATAAGAATCTCGACTCCAGGAGAAAAAGGGGCAAAGAATGACTGTAACTATTCAAGTGAGTCATATCTTGCCGACCACTTCGGGTTGTTGACTGGCTGGCGTTCTTGGGTGGTTTCGTATATTGATTGCCAGGAGGATACCTATTGAAATATATATGACCTAAGTATGGTTGGATAATGCCGTCATTATATTTCAACACTCTTCGTCTCATTTCGTGAACCATGCCAATGCATTCCTATGCTTCCGTACTGGGCATGACCATAGCTGCCTGCCTACCTAGGTACCTAGGTAGGTAGGTAGGTCAGGTAGTTTTGCCGCCTCGAATGTCAAGACTAGGAATGTTTTGATTACAGAATGCTCAAGACGCCAACCGCAATACTGGACTTCTCGGTTGATCCAGATATCTCTAAAAACAAAGTGCAGATTTAGTGATTGCGACCTATCCTAATTGCGCAATCGCCTCCGTCACCAGATACTTAGCAAGTACCTGGGTACTCCGTACCTTGGACAGGCTGGGATATTAGCCGTTGGGCCCGCCACTTACCCCAGTACGGCGTTCCGCCTGACCAGTGCTGACATGGAGGGTCACGTCTGCCAACGAGGGAGTGCAGTCCAAGACAAACACCACATTCATCCCACATATCAATCAAATCGGGCAGGATAGAGGCACTTCTTTTTCGTTTTTTTCTTAGAGTTCTTGCGCTTTTCGCTACCCTCACAGCCTGCCGCATTTTTCACTGCCGCGCATTTCGTTCAAACTTCGAGGTTCAGCAAGCCGTCCTGGTCAGTGGTCACCCACGCTCGGTTCGTGGACTGCCGACGTACCTAGGTAGTGCCTGGAGGAATCTACATTGAAACGTCACGAGTTCACCGAAACGACCTGCTACAACCCACAGTGTTACACAAACCCCTCAACCACTTTTATCAACCTCCTTCGCTTTCAAACCAACTCCTTCTCCACATCGTACCCCTAGACACACACAGATCTGGCGACATGGGTCTTTCATACAACACGTATCTAAATAGCAACAAGATATACGGCTGCAAGACCTGCAAGACCCATTTGGCAAATCATGAGGATATCATAAGTCGAGTATGTGGATTCCTACAGTCCCACTTACTTCCAGAATGACCAGCACCTGGTTCTACCGCGAGCAAGAGCCAAGTAAGGTCTGCGAGCATTGCAGAATGAAAGGCTCCTTTTGCGTCAATGACATGCCGCAAGCTGAATGTGCTAACCGAGATATGACGATAGAATTTTCGCGGTCAGCATGGCAAGGCCTACCTGTTCCATACCGTTGTGAACATTGAGGCCGGTGAGCCAAGTGAGCGCAACATGACGACCGGTAGGCATATGGTTCGCGATATTACTTGTCGTCAGTGCAAGGAAACAGTGGGCTGGAAATATGACAAGGCTTACGAAACCTCCGAAAAGTACAAAGAGGGAAAGTTTATTCTCGAAGCAGAGCTTCTCTGTAATGTAACTTGAGAAGACAGCATTTCGTTCCATGTCCAGCGAGTGTGTTGGATGGGGGAGACCAGTAGCCACTACGCACAGTGCTTGAGTAGCGACATGCAACATTAGTAATTGTATGTTGTCGGGAAACCTGATCAGCGCTGTGAAATGATGACATTCTTCGCAGGGTTGAAATTTGCGATATTCAAGTTTGGTTTACAGGACACTCAAGACGTCACGCGTCTAGAGCTGCAAGGATGAATAGTGACCATCGTGGGTTTTGACGTGAAGACTTCTAAATGAGAATTTGTACTTAGGAGCGATGAATTACATGGCACGATAAATAGATTCTCTGAAATCTATACAGTATTCCAGCTACCAAACCAGACAATTGCGCTCATGGCCCTCGAGGAACATTGCATTAAAACAACAAGTTACTGGTGTTCGATGGGTTCCTCAGGGAGCAGTTCCTCCACCTCCTCGTTGATGCGCAAACTCTCCAGTGGAGGTTGTACAATCCCGTTGAATACAAAAGTCGAATATACCAGCAGCGCAAACCCAACGATTTGAAGGAACTTGAATGACTCCCAGCCAAGTCCCAGTGAGACGATCCAAATGAAGAGCGTTCGACAGGTATCAATGGTCGATCGAGAGGTCGCACTGACACTACGTGTGACGGACAGGCCAAAAAAGTTGAAACCACTGTAGAACGCAAAAAGTTTTAGTCGACAAATCAAATCATTTGGCGTATGGCTTCAGAGCAGGCTCACCCAATACTGATCATAATCAGAACGCTAGAGATCCAAATCTTTGGTTGGGACATTTGTCGAATACCCTCGGCTATGTCAAATGGGCCATAGCGCCCAGTTTCTGTACGCCCAACCAGGAAGTGCATGACAACCATAACCAAGAGTGTGAACGAGAAACCAAAGATACCTTCCCAGCCGACGACCTTGATCGGCGCGATGGTCGAGTTCTCCAGCATCCATTCCTCTAGCACGAATTGTGTTGCTGTAAATATCTGAGCTCCAGCTATTAGGAGTACCCCGATGACAGCTCTTGCGGCGCCTGAAAGTCCTCCACTGGAACCGTCATCAACGACAGAGCTGCCACCATTCTGGGATATTTGTTTCTCATCAGGCCAGATAGCCCCAGCTAAGCCCACGATAGCGACACCTAACACAACGCCAACGAGAGAGAGCCATTGGAATAGATAAAGATGTCTACGGAGAAACATGACGCTGAAGAGACCGACGAATAATACAAGGGCACCTCTAGTCATTTGATAGATGGATGCAGCAACGAGGAGTAGTCCTGCATTCATAAGGGTGGTACCGCAGATATCGCAAATTGCAGGAAGCGCCAGGAGAATGACGCGGAATCCTCGGAGGACGGACGGACAATCCCCGTCTGGCTTGGGCCTGTTTCTCTGCTCTTCATGTTCTGCATTATCAGTGGTGTTGACAGTTTCGTAGCCGCGTTCCTCGGGGGACGGTCGAGAGACGATGCGCCGATACGCAGCCATCAGTGCAATGACGAGCCAGCACCCCATCTCGCCTACGAACATCTGCGCCGTTTGGAGCACCGGCTGCTCAAAGAGTTGGGGTCTTTTCCCATGACAATTCCGCACGCATTGGTTATCCTACACATCATATCAGCGACTGTCAAGTCAATGTAAGAGTGTGGCATGGGGATTTCGAATGAAAAATGACAAAAACACTCACCTGATATTTCGTGAGAAGTGTGTTGCACACTCCTGTGACGAGCATCATCGTCACGAGAAAGGGTACTGCGGCGCGGGAAGCCATGGTTGGTCTTATCTACCGCGGCCGGAAGTCTGGCGGGCAACGAGTTGAACGCACTCCGTAATGTGGTAGCAATAGCGGAGGAAAATGAGCAAGCTTGAATTGAAGGACAGAGAAGAAGATAAGAGGAGTGAAGTTCCGGCCAGTAATAACACTGGCGTTGGTCGGTTTCGATGATGGATTGTAATCATAGAAACAAACCAACGTCAGACTGATGAGATAACGCCAGTGTTGCCTCGAACCGGAGATCAGGCGCACGGGACGCAGCCGCGTGGTTCCCCCAGACGCTCAGTCCACGTCTTGACCTGCGCGCCAATCAGCATTCGGGCTTGAACTACACACTACCACGGGAAAAGGCAGGTAATTGACTTGATTCGCAGCCGCGAAATACTAATACCGATACGAAGCAGAGTGCAAAAGTTGTGGAGCCTTCTCATGGGCATCTATCTTACATAAGGCCATGGGGCCGCCGCTGCCGGTGGCATCCGGTCAAGCGATGGTCTGGTACTCGCTGAGGTTTCTTCCTAGGTACCTAGGTAGGTATGTACTGACTGGTTTGGTTTTTTCCATTGGGAAGTTCTGGACTGGTATCTCGCATGCGCGCATATACTGCCTACCAGATACCTACTTAGGTACCGAGTACCTAGGAAGCGCAACGGGTGTTTTATTGACCATCACTAACCTCAGCAGCTATAATTAGACAGCTTTGAGGATTTTTTATTCCATACATTAAACTTTTAATAGCTTATGATACTTTAAAGCCTGCATATGTGTTATGATAGCTTTACATCACTAAAAATAGGGGCGCCTCGCGTACTTAAGTAGGTAGTAAGTACCTGGTAGATAAGCAATTACAAGGACTTGACATGGCGACAACACCAGTGAAAATGTCAATAGACACCTAAGGCAATGCTATTTTAATCAACGAGGGCCTGAATTCTTCTTGCAAAATGCCATATATTATTCCATTGTCTATTTACCTCTTGTGCGTCGAAACATACTTCTGGTTCTGGTCTAATGTTAACTTTGCTCCCCTTTTTGTCACTTGCAAGTGGGCTTTATTTAGAATTTCCTGCTCGTCAACAGCCGCTACGGCGCGGGTTGTCGCGAAAGCGGCGTTCTCTTCCCATCCTGCCCTGGCAAGAGTGAGAAAGAGGTTGGTTGTGAACAAATACTACTAGTACCCGACTTAAGTACCTAGGTAGGTAGCCAGGTTTCGACTCGCACGTTGACTTCTTCCCTTTCTGGATTAGTGTTTGGGGCAGTTTGCCGGGGTCCGGGTCGTGAGTACGGCACCTGGGCACCCATTTGCGCAGGGCCGCATGTATCCCGCGGGTAGCCAGCCTTTCTGCTCCGGCTGGCCGGGACTTTGCGGTCCAAGTAGCTGGTCCAACATATTTTTTTTTTCCCGCCAAGGTCCGATGCAGCCCGTGCAAAACCTCCTTGAGCTATCAACCCTTTGCAAATCTGTCCCTCATCTGTTGAGTTGATGTTGGTGCACACTCCATGACTAGACTTTTCTGAATTTTGTACGACGTTTTGTTCCCCCTGCCTTCCCTCTCTTCATTCGTGTTGAATTATGGCCGCCCGAGAACAGGTTCCGAATTCCACGGCCACAGGTGCAGGCATGTTACTCTCCCATCGTTTGACTATGGCCATTCCAGGCTAGGTTTGTTCCAATTCTCTAACAATGCACCTTTTCCGATGTCACAGAGGCCGCCCAAGACTCTGCCAATCCTATGGCTGTCGGTACCGAGTCTGATTTGGACGCTGAAGCAGAGAATGGAGCTGAAGGTATGGTTCCGTTGCGCTGCAGTCTGTGTTTTCAGCAGTTTTACTAATTGATGGAATTCCTCAGCTTTAATAAACCTGTCAATCGTCCTGCCCGATTCGAATGCCACAAGGATGCAAATAATGGTGAGTTGACATTCTGCGGACAAAGTACCTCATTAGTAACATATTAGCTTTAGGTCTCGTCCCAGGAGCAAGTCCACGAGGTCCGCCAATCCATTATCGACTTGCCTGCAGCATTTCGCTATACCTGTTTTCATCTCGAGTATCAAGGCAACAAGATCAACGACTTTATTTCGATTGCCGAGATCCCCGGTCTCGAACCCGAGCCCGAGTTCCGTTTGATAGAAGACCCATATACGGAGAAGGAGGCACGAATCCATCTTGTGAGGATTCGCGAGCTCATTGGTGCTGCCGGTGATCGCGTAGACGTTTATCAAGGTGTCCTCCCTGGACTCTCGCTTTTTGAAAGCGTTGCTCGGCAGGCGCAGAAAATTTCTGGTGCTGCTCAAGACGCCTCACCCCTGAAAGATTATGACTTCCAGTCTGCTCCGTCCTTGGATAACCTTGTCCCCGACTTCTTTGAACCCGGCCCAAAAACGATCAAATCTGTTTCTCTTTCTTCATGGAATCCTCCGCCATGCCACTTGAGACAACGCGGCCACCTGCTCTACATTGTAGTCACCACCAATGAGGGGGAACAATTCCAAATCACCTCTCATGTATCGGGCTTCTTTGTGAACAAGTCATCAAACGCCAAGTTTGACCCGTATCCTCGAGCGTCACCTAAAGGATACTCCGCTCACTCTCTGCTGGAGCTCATTAGTCTCATCTCACCTTCTTTCTCAGATACATTCCAACAGCTGCTGGAGTATAATAATCAAAGAGATCCTTTAGCAACATTTCAAATAACCAATGCCATTCCATCGGCACCATGGGCAGTGCCTTCGCCGACGTCAGCCTTGTGTGCTCATGTCGCTGACCCTACGCGCCCCCAAGAAACGTTGTTGCTCTCCGGAGTTGAGAACACAGATACCTTGCGTGACTGGAATGAAGAGTTCCAATCAGCCAAAGAATTACCGAAAGAGACTGTGCAAGATCGAGTGTTCCGTGAGAGATTGATATCGAAGCTATTCGCAGACTACAATGACGCTGCTACCAAGGGCGCAGTGATGGTCGCACGTGGGGAGATTGCGCCTCTGAACCCTACGGAGGGTAGAGACGCTCAGATATTTGTGTACAATAACATTTTCTTTTCCTTTGGTGCCGACGGCGTCGGTACTTTCACATCTGAGGGCGGTGACGAAGCCGCCAGAGTTGCGACCGGAAAAGATGTTGCTGGGGTAAGACTGGTTAATCAGCTTGACATTGAGGGCTTGTTTGCTCCTGCTACTGTTGTTGTCGACTATCTTGGTAAACGAATCGTTGGCCAGAGCATTGTGCCTGGTATTTTCAAACAACGCGAGCCGGGAGAAAACCAGATTGACTACGGTGCCGTCGATGGCAAGGATGTTGTTGCAGATGACGCGCGTTTCGCCGCGTCGTTCGCGCAGCTGTCCAAGGCCCTCAAAGTAAAAAAGCATCCAGTCTGGGACAAGGACGGAAAGCGATTTGACTTGGAGGCTAGTGTTGAGACAAAAGGCCTTATGGGAACCGATGGGCGAAAATATGTCCTAGATCTTTACCGGATCACACCTAACGACATCAATTGGCTTGAGGAAACGAAGCTCCAGACCGAGAAGGGACATTCCAAGGCATATCCGCATCGTATGACCGTCCTTAGACCAGAGCTCGTTGACTCGTTCGCTCGCTTCAAGATGAAGCAATGGGTTGACGCTGAACTTGCACGCCGTGACCGAACGAAAGCGGACGAAGATGTTAATAACGAGTCCAAGGAAGCCTCCGACGAAGGGAAGTCTAAAACACAACTTGACCTCTCCGATTTCAAATTCTCGCTGAATCCCGATGCCTTCAGCGGCCAAGTCCCTCAATCAGATGAGGAAAAGGTGCAACTTGAGGAGGATGAAAAGGAGGTGCGGGAAGCCGGAAATTATTTGCGTAATCAGGTGATTCCAGACCTGTTGCGGGAACTCTCTGACTCCGATATCAGCTTCCCAATGGATGGCCAGTCTCTAAGCCGCCTATTGCACAAACGAGGTATCAATGTTCGATATCTCGGAGCGGTTGCTTCTCGGGCTACCGATGGAAGGTTGCGTTGCCTCCAGGAAATCTGCATACAGGACATGGTAGCTCGTTCATTCAAGCATGCGGCCGCTGTCTATTTGAGGGACCTCCCAGTTCCTTTCACGGCTTCCTGTATATCACATCTCCTTAACTGTTTGCTTGGCTATGAGATGAACGCCAAGCCCAAGGCTGAAGTTGATGCCTTGCTCAGTTCTCTTTATTCTGACTCCGATTTGTCCTTTGAGCTGGTCACTCCTGAAGAGCTTCGGGCCAGCATCGAGGAACAGGTTCTCAAACGCTTCAGATACAAACTGGAGGATGGCTGGTTTAATACCATTCGCAAGTTCCAGCTATTACGTGAGATTTGCCTTAAACTTGGTATTCAAATCCAAGCAAAGGACTACAGCTTCGACGAAAGGACAAAGGCTTCTGATCAATCTACTGAAGCCGTTTCTAAGCCATCGAACGGGCAGCAAAATGGAGAATCAAAGGACAAAAAGAAAAAGAAGAAGGGCCAGGAAGCGTCAATCGTCGCCACTACGCCGAGCACCGCGAACATGACCTTTTCTCCTAACGACGTAGTTGACGTAGTCCCCGTTATCAAACACTCCACGCCACGAAGTTCTCTAGCAGAGGAAGCCCTCGAGGCCGGACGCCTCTCAATCATCCAAAATCAGAAGAAGCTGGGTCAGGAACTTCTTCTCGAATCGCTATCGCTGCACGAGCAGATTTACGGAATTCTGCATCCGGAGGTAGCTAGAGTATACAACAGCTTATCAATGCTATACTACCAACTGGATGACAAGGAAGCGGCTGTTGAACTGGCCAGAAAAGCTATTGTCGTCGCTGAGCGCACTGTTGGTATTGACTCTGCCGAGACATTACTTAACTACCTCAACTTGAGCTTGTTTCTGCATCAGGTAGGGGATAGCAGAGGAGCCTTGGCATATTCAAAGCATGCGTTGGTGCTTTGGAAGATCATATATGGACCAGGCCATCCTGACTCTATTACAACCATCAATAACGCAGCCGTCATGTTGCAACACCTGAAGCAGTATCATGAGTCGAGGCTGTGGTTTGAAGAATCACTCCGCGTGTGTGAATCTGTGTTTGGCAAACAATCCATCAACTCCGCAACATTGCTGTTTCAGCTGGCGCAAGCTCTCGCTTTGGACCACGATTCAAAGGGAGCCGTGAACCGCATGCGTGAGTCGTACAACATATTCCTCAGTGAGCTCGGACCAGACGATAAGAACACGAAAGAAGCCGAAAGCTGGCTGGAGCAATTGACCCAGAATGCCGTGTCAATTGCCAAACATGCCAAGGACGTCGAATCTCGCCGTATTCGTTCGGGGATTCGCTTTCCGGCCACCGTTCCGCCGGAACAACAACCTGGTGCTCGGTCCCAGCGCATGGCCCAGCCGTCGCAGATTGATGCACGAAGCATTGATGAATTAATCAAATTCATCGAAGCGGGAGACCAAAAGTCCAAGTCTTCAAAGAAGCGACCCGGTCGAGGAAACCCGAAGCGCCGGGGACAGTCAACAACGGCATAAATCCCCTTGCTACGCGATGAGATTGGCGTTCCATTGCAACGGACAGAAGGTCACAAACGATCAACCTAGGGAAAAGGAAGTAGCCAAGAAAAGGTGGAGCTTGTATATCTATGTTAAACTAACTGTAGCAGGTCATACATCATTGAGGGGTTTGGGGAAAGCTGTGTGAAGAAGCGCAATGGCGTGGAAATCATGGGAGGCATGCTTCGGCAAGGTTGATCGGTAATGTAACATTGGGCAAATGCATTCACGAGTGGAACCAGGAAACATCACAAACCCTCCCATGTACGCCTGATGGCGAAGATTCGCCAAGAGCATTCTATTTTTTGCAGCATCTTACTTCTACATAGCTTCGTAGGGTGCCATAATTAAGATCTCAGCTCAACATCATGCTTTCAGCCTCGTTCAAATCCGTGGTCCTGAGCCATACTGTCTCTACTGCTGTTTGCCCTATATGGCCAAGTGCTATGAAGGTGTCATTCTAGGACGGTACTGGCTGACCAACATGATCCTTTTGTTTTAAACCAAGGCGATTCTTCACCTTCTTGGTAGAAACCCCAGAATCAAGAATTGTGCAGGTGTGTGAAACCTGTACTCCCGTCGCACTTCCTTCGAAACGGGCGGCACGTGGTCGCGAGCTGAATCTGGTTCTTATACGTTGGCTCAGCTTCTTTCGTCTTCAGACATCCGTGTATGATTAAGTGCTAGCACGTAGCAGAGGCATCGTGGTGCCATCTTCGGGAATGCTGTCTTCTTGTCGAAAACGAAACGATCCTTTGCCAAGGTCATGAATTGCCAGGCAACGCATTAGCAACAGGTATTCCTCTCCCAACTGGTGCATGGTATGAGCCGATGCTTTGAAAGCCCCTGAGTTAAGGTTTATCTCATTAGCACACGAACACAGGATTCTAGGTAGATATGGTTCATTTCGAATGAGACCCAGCAGTACCTATGGGTAGATAGAGGAGGAGCGGAAGGGAGTATGGCATACTTTGTTAAATCGAATCCTTGGTCCTCTTCCACATCGTCAGAGCCCTCACTTTCCCGCATGGTACCTTCCAGGGCTGGGAGCCTTTGTGGTTTAGAAGGGCTGCTAGGTGGCGACTTGCTAGCGCGAGGTGGGCTACTGCTCTGAGACAATAATCCCCCGGCAGGTTTTGAAGGACTGAATTCGTATGGAGCGGATGGCCGTAGCGGCGTGCTGCCGATATCGGCATACTTCCAGAACGGTGCTGGCGAGCTCGTAGGCATATGCTGGCTAGGTCGTTGGGCGGTGCTTGGTGGCGCAAGCTTCGGATGAATACGCGGTGGTGCAGGTGTTACAAAAGAAGCGCCTTCATCTTGTAGATACGACGAGGTCAGAGTGGGAGATTGAGGATTGAAAGTCGAGATGGACGAATCAGGCGGGATATTTGTCGACTTGCGATGCCGTGGCAGTGGACTGCCATCTTCTGTTAAGTTGGCATTTCGTCCGATACCCCGTTCTGAACTTTGTTGGGGAGTTGATTGCGCAGCACGCAGAGATGATCGAGGGGGTGGCGAAGCTATAGGTGACGCTCGTCGTTTTCGAGCAGACCCTGGGTCTCTAGATGCCATATCTTTTGGTCCTTGGGTGATGTAGTTGAGTTGATTCGGCGACGATGGTGCGGAAGAACCCCGGTGACCGCCACGGCCGATCTTGAAGGCATTTCTGGTCATTTCTTCTCTTGCTTCTGGGACTATTTGCCATTTCATGCCCTTCCCAGGTTCATCAGTAGATCTGGCGACTTTATCAAATGATTTGTTAAGCGAGAGGTTGTGCCGAATAGAATTCTAAGACAAAAGACACCGGTACAGTTAGTTTAAAAGATTCCTCTACACACCAGGCAATTTTCAAGCCCCTGTAACGTGCCAAAATGGTACTCACCTGCCAGCCAGCGGCCTGTTGATGTCGATAATACGAGTAGCTGTTCATAATGAAGGTGTAGATGCCGTTTAAGTTGAGCTTCCCGTCAGGGGCATTCAATATCGCTTGTGTGATCATCTGGGCGTAACTATATTGTGGCTTAATATGCTGGTTGTGATCATGGCTCAGGTCTACGCCATGCGCGCCAATCAGTACTGCCGGAGTACTGGCTTCTGGGGATTTGGCCATCGAGGCTCCTCTTCTCTGAGTAAATGGGGGCGTCCCCGGCCGTTTATAATCGGCGGGAGCTGGAGCAATGAACGGCTGTCGTCGAGATGTAGGGGCTTTTGCCACGTCCGGACTTAGCCCACATCGTTGCAAAAACATGGGGTGGACATGCAGAGGAGATATTTCGGATGGGAGCACAAACATCATCTCAACAGTACCAATTTCAATGACCTCGCCAGACGTGAGGGCATGAAAAGCCCGAGGTTTAAGGGGTTGCCCGTCAATTTTTGCGCCATTACGACCCTTTATTTGAAGAATCCACTTTTCATCTTTAGAGTCGAAGCAGATGGAGGCATGTTCGCGTGACACCATCTTGCTCGGGCCCAGGTCGATATGAACATGGGCCTCGTCCCCCTCCTCATCATCGGCATGGGATATCTCGGGTGCGCGACCAATGTTGACTGCAAGCTTCGTTATGTAGAAAGTCCAATCTTGAGCTGCCACTTTGGCATAGGCTTTGACACCATTGCGATTAGCTTCGTGGATCGCATTAGCATGATCTTTGCTTGCTTGGACAGGCTGGGATTTGAGTTGCTGGGTGACTTGTGAGACAATGTGGTCATCATCCGTGCCTGGAGAGTCTTCGGCATCATGAGCCTGAGAAGTTGATGCGTTTCCGGAGAGGAGGCTCGAGTCTGCCGGGTCTGAGGATCGAGTACGCTTGCGACGTTTGGCGGGGCGGCTAGGAGAGGAATCCTCGACATCAACAGGGTTGGCTACGTCCTTGTCTCTGCGCAAGTCGCGGCGGGCGCGCTGGGCTCTCTTGGCCGACGGCGGCATGGCACTGGATGAGCGAGCAGTGAAATCGTGGGGTGTTGGCTTGTCGTGGAGATGAGAGGTTGCGCAAGCCCGTGGCCAGACGAAGAGGGTGGATGCAGACGCAAGGTTGAAGAGCCAAAGGACAAGCTGGAGTTTGTTCAAATCGGGATTTTCGAGAGGAGGTCCGTGTTAGTCCCAGTAAAATTGAAACGAGGGACAAGGAGCGTAGGATCAGTCCACGAAGGACGTGCTCGTCAGGCGCAGGAGTGAAGGGCGAAAGGTGCGAATGGAAATGGTGAGTTTCGGTTCGATCAATCAATTAAAGTGTCGGCTAACCTTCCACGCGGGCAACAACCGCGTTCGCGTTTTGGCCTCCAGGGACGGTCGAACAGTTGGCCATCTCAAGGAACTTGGGGTGGCTACAGTCAACGAATTAGAATTGCACGTTCACTCGCAGGTGGGGTAGCTCCATGCCATGGGGAATAACCCCTGGAAGGGAAAATCATTGTCCCCTAGGCCGTACGCTCCAATCACCTTGGCAGTCCTCCACCAGCCTGACCAGGCGCACTTGTCCAGCTTCAGCCTTCCCACCATTCGATACATGGCACATCCATTTCCCTCTCTCCCTCTCTCTTCCTCCATTTCCGTCTCCCTCCCCCAACTCCCTTTAATGCATTCGGCGGCATCTGCTGCGCACCACGGCAAACTACCGGGGCATTTAGCATTCTTTACGCACCAAGGTATCGCCAATTCCTTCCGCCTCGCACCCTGCACCGTTTCGATTGCCGAGACGGCGTAATCACGGCAGACATTACCCGGGCTTAGGAGCATCTTGAACGCATACTCGACAGTATTCGACAGTATTCGACGCTACAATTAAAGGCTTGTTTCAATGTCGAGCGATCAGGTTTTCGGCGTGACACCGCCCATCTCTGTAGGGTTGCCTACCGAGGCTGAAAAGCGTGCAAGCGATGCCCTCATCGAGGAATTACGGCGGCAAAAGACGTTCGAAAGTCCTTCCGATACCCAAAAAAGGTGCGCTATATATCATGACAACCTAAACAAGCCCTCAAGCCCTCCTCCCCCCTCTTTGCGCCCATCGAGATATCTGAGTTCATTCTACCGTGCCCCTAACTCTTCCGTGCTTGTAGGTTCAAAGTCCTCGAGTCACTGCAAGCTATTTGCGATGAGTTTGTCAAGCGCGTCGCTCGAGAGAAGGAGCCCAAGAACGATGTCCTTATAAAGAACGCCCGTGGCAAAGTATTTACATATGGCAGCTTCCGTCTCGGCGTGTTCGGGCCCGGTTCCGATATAGATACACTCATCGTCGCTCCTAAATACGTCACACGAGATGACTATTTTAAGTACTTCCCCGATTTGTTGGAGGCCATGGCTCCCAAGGGCGCCATTACGGATTTAGCCGCGGTCACCGATGCATTCGTGCCTATCATCAAATTTGAATACTCCGGTATAAGTATTGATTTGATCTTCTCGCGAATCATTCAGAAACAGCTCGCCCCTGACTTTCAAGACCTTAAAGACTCCGGTTTGCTTCGAGGTCTTGACGAGGCAGAGCTCCGCTCGCTTAATGGCACACGGGTGACCGATGAAATTTTGACACTGGTGCCCGAGCAGAGCACATTCAAGCTTGCCTTACGGGCCATCAAGCTGTGGGCCCAGCGTCGTGCAGTGTACGGCAACATCATGGGGTTTCCCGGTGGTGTTGCTTGGGCCATGTTAGTTGCACGGGTTTGCCAATTGTATCCAAAGGCTGCAACGTCTGTGATAGTCAACAAGTTCTTTTTGGTCATTAGTCAATGGCGTTGGCCTCAACCTGTTTTGCTCAAGCCTATCGAGAGCGGCCCTCTGCCAGTTCGTGTGTGGAACCCAAAGGTACGCGTTTTTGGATACTCTACACCCCCTTCTCAAAAGAGGAAAAAATGAACATTGCAGCTAATCTATGTTATTTCAGATATATAAAGGCGATTCATTCCACCTGATGCCCGTCATTACTCCTGCATATCCCTCCATGTGTGCCACATTTAATATTAGCCGCTCTTCTATGGCAATTATTAATCGAGAACTTCGAAGAGGCTTAGAGATTTCTGAGAGCATTATGGTCGGCAAGCAACCTTGGAGCGACCTTTTTGTGAAACACACTTTCTTTACTTCAGATTACAAGTATTATATTTCCGTCATATCTGCCAGCAAATCCAAGGAAGCACATAACGTTTGGTCAGGATACGTTGAGTCCAAAGTACGCATGCTCGTACAGAAATTGGAACAGCATCCGTCCATCGCCTTGGCCCATGCTTTCAACAAGGGATACGAGCGTCGACATGAATGTAAGGACGACTCTGAGATAGCACAGGTACAGGAGGGCAGTCTCGATTTCTTAATCAAGAATGGTGAAGATTGCCAAGCTACAGCGAAACTCAAATCCGAAGAGCCAAAACATAATGCAACCGAAAATGGCGACACAGAACTCAAACGGCCAACGGAGGTCTTTACCACAACCCATTACATCGGATTAGAACTAGAGGAGGGTAAGTTTCAAGTCAACCCCCCCCCCCCCCCACCCCCACAAAAAAAAAAAAACC